TTTTTGGGGGGAAGGGTCCAATACCGAGCACGACATTATAAGGCTGGGTTTCTACTATTTTCTTAAGAACCCTGAAAGAATAAACAATAATAATCCCTATATTGCCCTTATAAGGAGGATTATTCTTTATTCCTTGGTGGTTCTTCAGCAATTACTTGGCTTAGGGTCTAGGGAAGGCTATGGGTTGCATGAGGCGTTTCTGCTTGCTCTTTCCGCGGTGTGGGTTGTAAGATCTTCACCTAAGGCCCCTGTTGCCTGCCCCCCCACAGAATCCATCCTAGAATCCCTAAAAGCACCCCTGGAATCCGAATTTTCCAGAGAATCCAGCAGAATAAAATGCCCCCCTCGAGGAGAATCCCGTCGAGTTTGCCGGGAACGCCCGCACCCGCACACATTCCCGCAGAGAATCCCACCGAGTGGGTTAGGGTTTAGTGTTTAGGGTTTAGGGTTTAGATGCCTATGCGAGCGCTTACCTCAAAAAAAACCTTCGGAGAATGATGCGGGTGCCCGCGGAGCGGCCACCTATAGACGACTAACGCCCTCCTGGGAAGGTACCCGAAATCCTCGATGCAGAGTGGTTTTCGTGTTGTGCTTGCTTTTGAAATGCAACGGCAAAGCCTGCGATGCAAAGATGATCCAGACATGTCGCTCTCTGCTTATTCACCGAAGTATCGGCCGAATATGCGACCGAATGTTCAGCAGAGGAAATTCTGGGACGATTATGGGAGAAGAACTTTCGGGCTCTTTCGCCGCCCGGACACAAGCACCAAGCAATCACGGCATCCCTCATGTCTGAAAAGTATATGTATATGCACTTATATGCATATATATATATACACATAACTTTGCTCCCACGAACTAACCTTGAAATTCCAACAAGTTGATTGTTGGGTTGAGTCTATACTCCCTGAACCTCAAGTGCTGAGCCGTCGACCGTCAATCCGGACCCCCGCACCCTATCTGAGCATCCCAGCATGCTGCGACTGCCCCGGGCACAGGCGGCTACAGTCCTTGTGCGGAAAATTGGAAAATGCTGGGTTTAAGCACAACTGTCTGTCACTACGCCCGGTTGAACAAGAAACCCAAAACCTGAAGTGCAAACCTTACTAGAGCAGCTGCTATGACAGAGCTAGGTCGCACTATGAGCTATGGCAGGTTCTGGTAAACACATTCCTTTGACAGTGGCGACGCTGATCTGCCACCAAACCATCCCGGAGCCGAGACGCTCAACGCAATAAACCCTCAACATGAAACGATGCCGGGCAACAGGGTGAGTGGCGCTTCTTCAGCGGACCTCTTCACATGCGAGGCTGAAGAAACTGGGTGCGTTGAGTTTGAGGCTTCAAGGCACTTTAAGGCAAACTTTAAGGTTTAGTAGTTTAGTACGCGGAGTCGGGCAGGTTCAGGGTGTTCTGTTCGAAGCCCCAACCTTCCCCAAGAAAAACGTTCTTCGCCCCTGAGAGTAATTAAGACCTTCTGCTGGACCCTCCAAACTGCAAGGACTCCCAACTTACAAGTCCCCCCCGATGCATCAACTCAGGGGTCCCCCCCCCCCCGCCCGAACTGCTGAACCTCCTCAAACATTCCACGAACAACGTCACAGTGCCATGTCAAAGCCCAAAAAAAAGTCAAATCCACCCCTGTCTCCCGATCACTCCTAGTCCCTAGAAGCGCCAAGGAACCGCCAAAGAGCCCCTACTCTTGCCTCGTCTTAGCGACCCCGCCCCCGAAATCTCCGAAAGCCTCGTCGTGCTTCCCCACAAGAAACAAAAGCACCCTTTCCAACCCTAAACCCTAAACCCTAGACCCTAGACCCTAGACCCTAGACCCTAGACCCTAAACCCTAAACCCTAAACCCTAAACCCTAAACCCTAAACCCTAAACCCTAAACCCTAAACCCTAAACCCTAAACCCTAAACCCTAAACCCTAAACCCTAACCCTAAACCCTAAACCCTAAACCCCCGGCTCCTGGAGGGCCGATGCGACTCCAGCCTCCCCAAGGGCTCCTCCGCAGTCCCAGGGAGGAAGGCAACTTAGACCCAGGAGGGAGGGCTTAGGGCTTAGGGCTTAGGGCTTAGGGCTTAGGGCTTTAGGGTTTAGGGTTTAGGGTTTAGGGTTCAGGAGTAACCTAGGAAGAAACAAGGGGGGGGCCACCCCTTGTTGGTCTTAAAGGGCCTACTGGCTGCTTGGGAGATGTCTTAAAACATGTCACAAGTAGACCCAGGACTAAGCTTGGAATGGAAAGGGTGCCCTTTTTGGTTTAAAGGGGCTTAGAAGGGAACGCAAGCCCTAAAAGGTTGGAATAAGGGCCTCTTCTGGGTCCTAGCAAATCTTGAGAAACAGTGCACTTCGTTGAGGCTTCTGTGCCTGTTCAGGTTGACAGTCTAAATTGGTTTCAGGGGTGGGGCGGGGGGGGGGGTTAGGTTTAGGGTTTAAGAGAGATGTTTGTAGTCTTGGCGGCTTCGCAGGTTCTTTGGGGTTGGTCCCAGTCTTGGAGCGTTGGGAATCGGGTGGGGGTCTGGGGTTTTGCCACCTGGGTCTATGCCGTGGCGCGCTTGGGGCAAAGGGTGCAGACGTTGAAGGTTGAGGGCCTCGTTCCTGCTCGGAGCTTCATGCGCAGGCGAAACAAGGATACTGCATGCTGGTCGGTTGCTCTGCTGCGGGGCTTCCCCGACTTAATTTATTTTTGGGGTCCAGCCGCAGGAGTTGATCTTGCGCTTCAAGGCTGTGAGTGCTTTGTGTTGACTTCGATGGGCCTCGCATCTGCGTTGGGACGAGCTCATGGCAGACCCGAACTCTGCGTCCGGCTCTTGAGCAGGCTTTGAGACTACGGGGCGAGGGGGCCTTATGTAGGGCTTCAAGGCTTTGAGCTTCGATGCTTTGATCTCTACATGGGGCTGCGTCCTCAGGATACTCCTCCAGGATGACCTGCCATTGGCCACAAGTGCCAAGAAAGAGAAGCAAGAGGCGCTGTGATTAACCAAAAAGCCTTGTAGATTCGGAGCGAATCTAAACTATGAGCTGCCCACAAAGACGCAGCCACGCAGGACGGAACCTCACGAACCCGAGATTTCCAAACACACGAGGCCTTATCAAAACTTCCCTTAGAACCTTCAAAAAAGTGACATTTTTAAATATTCCCTTGGGCTTTACATGAATTAAAGACAAAGCAGTTCCTAGGGGGGTCAGAGTTATAAGCACCACCCGCCTGTGACAGGGCCCGCTCCAGGTCGAACTCTTGCGACTGTGCCTGGCAGGCCACCATAAAGACATAGACTCATAACCAAGGAGAGGAGAGAAAGTGATACCCTTCTTGGTGTTTAAAGGGGCTTATCATCATAAGGGAACCTAAACCCTAAAAAAAGGCATAAGGGCCTACTCTGGGTCTTGGAGAATGTAGTATTCCACTTGCGCACAAACCCTTAACACCCAACATAGCAGAAACCTTGAAGCACAACCGAAACTCCTAAGAACTACTTGAAGGCTCATGAGCAGCTAGAAATAAAGGTCTCAAAGAAAGGCACAGGGAGAGAGAGAGAGAGAGAGAGAGAAAAACAACAAAAAAAAAAACGCAGGGAAAAAAACAAAAAACTGCACGAAAGAGTATCTTCAAAACTTAGAAACCTACTTCTCAAGTTAGCGTTTACGATTTGATTGGGTTTGGGCCTATAGAGTCTTAGGGTGTTGCGACTGCTGGAACCCCCTGCACTGCAGTACAACTGCTTTAAAGGTCCCTATGGAGAGGCCGAGCTCTTTTCCAGACCTGCATCTCTACCAGGTGGGCATCGTTCTGTCAACATGAGCTTGGAACGCAGACTTAGTGACGTGTGTACATCGGACTGCATCCCAGCTCCCGCACACTTCAACTTGCCTGGACGGTGCTTTCCTTTGCAAGTGCAACTTGCATGGATCGCTGTCACACAGCTTGCATATTCACAATGCTCTTCAAACAACTTTAACAAGTCAAAGCAAGTCGGCTGCCTATGGCTGTGGAATATGGCAGCAAGCCAGGACCCCATGACAGAAAGACACTCACCCTGCAGGAATCAAAGCCCACGCCACTTGGCAAGGCGTACATTAGCAACGTGCGGTGCCAATGGAAGGAGTTGTCGGAGGAAGCAAATGGCAGTAGCAGGTTTTTGACTGTAAGATTTGAACCCACGCTCCATCAGCTTTGGTACGCGACCCCTGTGGCTGCAACAAATGCCTCATCTTACAACTTCGCTGCAATGTTTTGCTTTGGGTTTAGCATGAAAGGGCTTTAGAGGTTCATGGACGCAGGGTTTCCGGATTTAGAAAGTGCTGCTGTAGAGGTCTGCCACACACATTATCTCTCCCTCTCTCTCGCTCTCTCGGCAAAGCTCTGCGCAAGACATTTGTCAAGGCAGCTCACTGCCAAGGAGGCGTGAACCTTGCGACGTTTGCAGGACATTTGCAGAGGAAGGCAACTTGAGAGAAACAAAAACATGGTGCCCAAAGCCTAAAGAACCCTGGGCCCCCCGTTTCCAGCTGTTAGGTGAATTTCAGGTCTGGAAAAATTCAGTCGTCTGAGCGGGCTTCAGAGTTCTAATTTAGGGCCTGCAGAGGCTGTGGAAGGCTCTGGCTCTCAGCTGTGAGGGCTGCTGAGAGGGTTTAGGGTTTAGGGTTTAGGGTTTAGGGTAGGAGCTATGGTAGGTTTAGGGTTGGGGGTCTAGGGTTGAGGGTTTAGGGTTGATCAGGCTTTTCTTGCCTTGGTGGCTTTGAAGTCACTCGCCCTGTGTGGATGCCCCTGCCCCAAAGTTCCTAGGGGTGCGACTTCCTGACGAGCAAACGTCCAAGGTGCAAGGTTTTGGGGCTTGGTTCTTATAAGGCCGACTTCGGACATATAGGGTCACAAGTCGAGTACAGCCTGTCTTGCCCGAAGCCCGACAGCTGAAAACCCCAAAAACAACCGTGCATTTTTGCCAGGGCAGGGTGCAGTGCGTGGGGGACGCGCAGGGTCAAAGACCCTCTCGTCACCTCATGGAATCAGCGACTTCCGCCGCCAAGTCTCCGGGGAGGACTCGGCAAAGATGACCTCGGCTGTGGTTTTCAAGAGGAGCTGCTCGCCCTTTTTGAGGGATTTGCTCTGTGGCCCCTCTACAACAAAAGAGAGAGCAAGACAGAGCAAGAGAGAGAGAGGGAAGGAAGAGGCCCCCACAGCTCTGTGCAGGAATGCCTTGAAGCCGCGAGCAATGCCCCCAAGACCCCCATGAACAATTTCAACTCTGACAAGCCGTGCAACTTCAACTCTGACCACCCTAAACCGAACACTGCCCTATGCCCTAAACCCTAAACCCTAAACCCTGAACCCTAAACCCTGAGCCCTAAAACTGAAACCCAAAACCCAAAACCCAATCCATATCCGACAAGTTCTAGCCAAGAAACCCCAGGCTCGCCACCTGGATCGCCCGGCAGCGGAGGCAGCGCCAGCACGAGTCCGTCAAACATGTCCTCACCGAGGGTGGGTGTCGGGATTTAGGGTTATGGGGTTATGGGGTTTAGGGTTTCGGGCTCAGGGCTTGAGATTCGGGCCTAATGAGGGGGCCCTGCCGGGTTGTGCTGCAAGCCTCAATCTGTCACCGTTTCAGCTTGTGAGGTGTGGATTTTTCGGACATCGAGGCAGACTTGTGGCCTTACAACTCCAGCTTTTGTGCGCCTGAGCCAACCCACGACCGGCGACGCCCTGGTGCCTGAACTCCCTAAACCCAAACCTGCCACTCGTAAGAGCCTAAAGTCCTAAACACAAACGCTACGCCCTAAGCCTCGAGTAAGCCTTGAGCCCTCCATCCTGTCCCTGTGAGGCAACATCCTTCCTGAAGCCTAGGTCCTCCGCCCGCAAGCTCAAGCTGAACACCCAAGAGCCAACAAGCCCTGAATGCCTCCTGCCACCCCGAACCTAACCGATGCCCGGACGACCCGAAGCACGAACGCGCCTGCAGTGACACCGCGCCATCACCATCCTTCGTGGGGGCTTTTTCAGGGCATTCAGTGCATGAGGGTTTCCCGTTTCACACTGCTGGGATGCTGTGCTTGTGGCTTACTACGACATATACACAAGGGCATATATATATATATATATATATATTATACATACGTGCATATATGAATCCAGGTATATGTACATACATAATATGTATACATTTTTGAATACAAATATAAACATAATCAATGTATAAATAAATGAATAAATAAATAAACAAATAAGTTAAGTAACCAACTAATAAGGTTAATGAATAAATAAACAAAAAACGCATAAATAAACACATAAACACACACAAGCACACATACATATATGCGTATAATTGTACATAGTTAACAATCTACATGTATACCCATAAACATATATGCACATGTACATGTTTCACCCCCCCTTCCCCCCCGCCCCCCGTTCCGCCAGTCGACAGCTCAAAACCCCGAGGCCAAAATTGAGGGATAACCATCCTGTGGTGCCTATTCTGAAAGGGCTTCTGGGCCCTCGAAGGCGATCAGCCCAAGCCACAACACAGCGTCTGCCTTAAGCCCTGATGAAACACAATGCTGCGCAAGATTGTGCAACAGCCTTACCCTACCTTGCCTAGCGCAACCAGTTAAAACTTCGGAAAGGTGATTATGGGTAAAATTTACACATTTTAGAAAAGTACAAAGGGTTGCTGAAAGCTAAGGCCTTGTAATTCCTAGGACCTGCAATCAGTAGTCCAAGGCGCCACGTCCATGGCCGTAAAGAGCTCTGACCACCAAACCTCCGACATGCCGCCGATTACAGTTTGGAGATCTGGATGCATACAAGTTGGGATGTCCCCCGTATGCTAACAGTCCTTAATTGGGGTTTGTAATAGGGGTACTGTAATCCTTATTAAGGACTGTTATATAAGGCTTAGAGGTTGGCACTCTACACATCAATAGAAGGAAGTAAATGCAGCCAATATTGAAGTCGCGATGTATGGTGCTACCTGGTACCATGAGGAACACAGTCAAAGGCGCAACAAACTCCAGACAATCCCCTAAACCCCAAACCCTAAACCCGTGGATGACATCTCATGTCCCTCACCTCACCGGGAAAGCACAGAAAAAACAACACGGTCGACAAGAGTAGGGTGTGGCCCCATTGCACTCCAGGCTCCAGACCCGTCGAAAGAAACCCTAAACCCTAAACCCAAAACCCCAAACCCTAAACCCTAAACCCTAACAAGCTTTCGGATAGGGGGGTTCAGGGTGATCTGGGCTCTCAGATCGACCTTAAAACCCCTCGAAAAGCCGTCGAGACGCATCTTTCACGCCCATGCCGTAGCCGAGTCCCGTGAGTGCGATTCGGAAGTCCTGCATTGTCAGGCTCTCTCCGAGGCAGGATATTCAGGGTTTAGGGTTTAGGGTTTAGGGTTTAGGGTTTAGGGTTTAGGGTTCAGGGTTCAGGGTTTAAGGTGTAGGGGTCGGCTCATGGGTCATGGGTAGGCATTTTCAAGTGCGCTTCGAAGAAACGGAGCCCAAGTTACACTTACAACCCTTCTCGATCTACTCAGAATGGGGGTTTCCGAAAATAGGGGTACCTTATTTTTATTCTATTATTTTTTTTTTTTGGGGGGGGGGGTTCCCTTAAAGAGAATGAAATTTTCATACCCTTATCTTCGTCAACCCCCGAATCATCAGGGAGGGACTGGGAGTTGGGGTCACGGGATTCTAAGGTTTCGGGGGCTCTCATCTCTGCGGTACCGGGGTCTATCCGCGCTACGTTTTCGGGTCTAATCTGGGAGGGTTGTAGAGAGGCTTGGGTCTCTGGTACTGTAGTGAGAGTTCTGAGAAGCAGGTCTTCACGTATATGCTCAGTCATGGCAGAAAACATGGGGGGGGGGGTCAGATGCTCAAGTTGCTCAAGTGCCTTGAGCAAGGGCGTCCTTCAGAACGTGCTGCGTCTCGAATCTGCAGCCATACCCCCACACACCCACACACACCTGATACTCCGCACGTTTAACTTGAAAGCGAAAGCCACTTGAGCCTGTGAAAGCCGCGAGCCCGCATGCCCGCGTCCTCCTCGCTAAACATGAACCGCAGACGGTCCTGCGGCAGAAAAGCGGTTTGCGGTTTAAGGATGGTTGACTGTCTTGTTTTCAGTGGGGCGGCACTTGTGCAGTTGCGATTAGGACTTAGCCTTCGCTGCTTCGAGTGTACAGCGGATTCTCCGGTCTGCGGACGGGAGGGCAAAGCCTCCATCCATCATCAAGAGCCAAAGCTCAAGCGAACGGCTAACTCATGACCCTCATAGCTAAAGCACTGAAGGCTCCAACCCGAATCATCCAAGAGTCCTCAACCTTGCAACCTTCAATCCGTTCTCCTCCAACCCAAGAAGCCCCCAACACTCTCTGAATTCCAAACACGCCAAACCCAGGCCAAGGCAACGCGGGGACATGCGAACGCGCCTCGGGGGTACCGGAGCCCCCGATGGAGGACTTCAGAGCTAGGCCTGCACCGGAATGAACTGCTGGAATGAACTACATGGAGTCGTCAAGGCTTGTTGAAAGCTTGTGCTCTAAGGCTTGTACTGTTTAGAGCTGAGCGTTTCGGGTGTAGGAGAGGGCTCTTGAGGGCCAGCCAGCGTCGTCTGACCCTCAAACCCAAATACTTGCGGTCTCCGACCTGCTTACAGGTGTGGAAGCAAGGGGCAGAAGTAGCACTTGAGGTCCCAATGTCAGGGTTTGAGAGAGACTGTCGCAATGGCGACAATCGCTAGGTTCTTGCACTTCAGGTCTTCAGCTGGAGGTTCTGGGATCTTGCTGATTGAGATTCGGTGGCTAGAAATTGCGAGCTCAAGATTCTAGGCTCCAGGCCCACAGCCAAAGCCCGATAGCACAGCCAAGAGACGAGGCCAACTTCTCCACAGCCCTAGAAAGTGTCGTAGCCTTATTTTAGAGAACCCTAGACTTGAACACATACTTAAGGTTTGAAGTACGATTTCAAAGTACGAAGTTCAGTGTTAAGGGTTTCCTCACACGGAGCCTGCCATCACGTCGAAAGAATTAGCCACCGTGCCGCAAGTCTCATCCAAGAAGGCCTGTCAGCTTGTCCCAAGACCCGACGATCCCACATCGTGAGCTCAAAGTTGGAACCCTTGAACTAACCTGTGGCTCTGAGAAGCTCTCCCCCTCTCTCTCTCTGTCTCACTCTCTCTCTCTCTCTCTCTCTCTCTCTCTCTCTCTCTCTTCTGTAGAAGTAGTGTGCAAGAAGGTTGCCGCGCAGCAGTCAACAGGGATAGCCAAGCTGCTAGTGTCTGCTGCGAAAGGTTGTTGTCAAACCCCCGCCCCCCCCCACAACCCCCCCACCCCCCTCCCCGACCCCACCCCCCCGCCCCCCCCGCCCCCCCCCCCCCCCCGCCCCCCCCCCCCCCCCCGCCCCCCCGCCCCCCCCCCCCCCCCCTCCCGCCCCCCCCCGCCCCCCCAAAGCCCCCCCCGCCCCCCCCCCGCCCCCGCCGCCCCCCTCCACCCCCCCCCCCCTTTCGGGGATGCCCCATCAACTTTGCCCTCGCTCTGGTAGCGTTGCAGGGCTACAACTTGCAGTTCCCAAGAAGGTTTTCTTTTCCCAGTCCGAATTGCAAGGCTATGCAACCTTGCACAGGACGCCCTTCTATGCCTGATCCCCAAGCTGTGCGGAGTCTCTGCAAGATGCACGAAAGTTTCACTTCGGTGCTCCCGGGCAAGCACGCGCCTTCAGTGCATGCCTTCGTAGCGTAGTGGACAGCGAGGGCGCAGCGACTTCGGTGGTTGCCTGACGCGAGCCATGCACGGACATAGATCGAGAAACTACTTTTTCAAAGTTCAAAGACTTTGGTCCTCGGTGCTGGGATATGCTTGGCTGGTAGGCTTCGCAGCCATCATGTCATTCAAGATGCAGGCGCGTCCTTGTGATGGAGCCTCCGGTGTCAGAGTTCTAGAACTATGTTCAATTTACATCCCATGCCCATCTGGCGGTCGCCGGCCTATAGTAGCGCTTGGGTCAAGCTAGTGCGTGATGCATCAATCGAATTCAACCCTTCAACCCCGTCGCAAAAAAAGACACTGACAGTGAGGCCTCAAGATGTCGAGGCTCTATTGGTTGCGGATGCTCGGGGCTTCTGGTTTCAAGTTGCGGCTGCCGTGGATATCAGTTGTGGTTGGAGCTGTTCCTGTAGAAACAAGGGACTGCAAGAGCCCAATTGGATCTGAAACACAAACTTTGACTCCTTCACGCTCCTGCATTCCAGAGTGAAGGACAGCCTCTCCCTGGAACGCCGCTTCAGGCTCAACCTTTTCCTGCTGAATCCTCCATAAACGCAAGCGCTTTCTACAAAAAAAACCTACTTGGCGGACATAATTTGGGCTATAAGTACGTACGTTACAATTGGTTCATAAGTACCATGAACCTTCAAGCAGAAGCCGTATCAAGCAAACAGAATCAAACAAAGGGGAGGGGGGGCCTCGGCGAGTTCGTCCTCGAACTTGGGCCGTGGGGGGCTTTGCGGCGGGGGGCTCGGCGGTCTCCGGGACCTGGGCAGGCGCTATGTGGGAACCCCTAAAAAAAGACCCCCCAAACAGTGGGATTCCTTTATGATGAGGACCCCACAAGTTACCCCCAATTTCGGAGACCGCCATATACATGAAACCCTCAAACCCCTCCGAAGCTTCACGGGTTTTGGGCTATCTTTCAGGTATGACTTGAGTTCAAGGGATGAGAGTCATCGGGTCGGTGCTTGAGGTTCAGGTCGAAGGTGTCAGGCTTGGGGCGGAGAAGCTCCGGGGCCTTGAGGGTGGGTCGAGACCTGGATATGGGGTGCAAGGTTTCGGACCGGGTTTAGGACATCCAGGGTCAAGTGGAGGATTGTGAGCACATGGCAGAAGTGGAGGGATCTGCGGCATGAATGCTCCGAGGTCCATACAACAATGCATCCATCCACCGCGAGCCCAACAGCAATACTCTCCTAAAATTCCTACACCCATCTGCCGACGGATTCGTTTTCAACTTTGCCACACGAAGCTCCTTCGAAGATAGTTACATGCGAAGCTGCAACGTTCTGGCCTAAGCTCACCAGGTAGACTAGAACCATCCGGGCCCCTAAACCCTAAACCCTAAAACCTAAACCCCAAACCCTGGGTTTAGGGTTTAGGGTTTAGGGTTTAGGGTTTAGGGTTTAGGGTTTAGGGTTTAGGGTTTAGGGTTTAGGGTTTAGGGTTTAGGGCAAACCCCAAACCCTAAACCCCCTCCCCCCCACATGCCACCGAGACGCATCATGCCCTGCAGCTTTGGCGAGAGGGCGCGCTCTGCGGATGCCTCAACCCTAAACCCTAAACCCTAAACCCTAAACCCTACACCCCATGGAGTGTTACAGAGGGAGTCGAGGGAGCTGAGAGCAGAAGACACTCAAAAAACACAGTTTAGGGGTTTAGGGTTCAGGGTTTAGGGTTGGAGAGCCGAACGCTAAGCTGTCCTCTCGATTGCTCGTTGAAGTTCATGGCCAAGTGCATTCAGAAGCCCATTGATACATGGAACCTGCCACGATCGTGCCCTTGCCTTCGGCACGTCATCCAAGTCCTGCCAGTTGCCGACCCGCTCCTGCTGCGAAACGGAGCCACGGAAATCTTGGGGCACGAACACTGACCCGAAGCCCTTCAAACACTCTAATACTATGAATGCCACAGACTTTAAAAAAGGCAGAATGGGAGAGGACGGAGTCGACCAGGAACGATACATAACAAAACGCCAGCGCACCCGTCAACATATCGTCTGCCAAAACAAGCCTCAAAGCGCATGCCTGGGAATGCCTTGGAATGGTTCAGTTGTGCTTGATTTGGCTTGCAAGATGTTGTGCATACAACCAGAACACCGCAAGCCTTGCTTAGGCTGCAAGCCACACCAATCCATCTCCAAAACCAAGAAAACATCCCTGTGAGTCTTCCCTGCTCCTCCAGCGTGGGAGGCTCTGGCTCGCTGGCGCGGACGCCGACACCCGCCAGGCCTGGGATAGCTTGAGGCACCGAGGCGAGGGCGGAATTTCACGCGACAAGGAGGTTCCGTGAAGCGACGACAGCTCTGCTGAGGAGAATGCGCACAGGACCGAGGCGAGTGTGCCATTTGCAGACACTGCGGAATGCACATCCCCCTCGACCGGACGCCACGACGCGACAGGGCGCGACGCAAGCCTCAAACAATGGGCGCGGGACCAAGGTGGAAGAGACAAATCGAGTTCGTGACGTGCATGGGACCCATAGGCTATAGGCAACACCACGATTTGGCACCCTCCACAAGTCACGAGTCCAAAGCATGACTTGCAATGAAAACAGAGGGCACCGCACGACATCAGCAATCTTGACCCTTACAGCACTCTGGACGTTGGAACCCCAGTGTCAGCACATTGCACCCTGAACCCCAACCCTAAACCCTAAACTCTAACCCGAAGCCTCCCGAAGTCCTACTTCCGGGCACACCGGCGGAAGCCCTCGAGCAGTCCCTCCAAGAACTCCTCGATGATCTCATCCTGCCAGGTGCGTTGAGGCAACAGGCAAGTTGCTCTCTTTTGTGTTTTCTTTTTTGTTTCTTGACTTTTTTCTCTCTCTCCCTCTCTCCCTCTCTGCCTTCTCCTCTCCTTTGCTCTTTATCGCCGTCCATCTCGCTCTCTCTCATAGTCTCTCTCTGCGAGTATCTGTCTCGGTCTTTGTCTCTCTCTCTCTCTCTCTCTCCCGCCCGCTCGTCAACTCTCCCTCTCACACGTCCGCTCTCCTGCTCATTCTCTTGCTCCCTCGTGCTCTCGGCAGCTAGATGCCTCGGACTGATCATGAGACAAACTCAGCAAAGCCCTCGGACATGGTACGCATGCAACAGGACTCGCATAAACCTGGAAGCTCTCCCTTTGCACTGGGCAGCATCCTTCTGCAAGTGGCTCACTCCGGGCGGGTGGGTGGGAGGGTGAGTGCGCGTGGGGCTGGGGGATTACCACGGGCCAGCGTAAAACCTGGGAGGCTTCGACCCGACATGATGACGCCTTATGAGGCATGCGTGTGTCCGTCAGGCGTGATAAAGACTATCTTCAAGCCACAGCAATCCAAACCTCACATGTTATTTAGTTGGCCCAATCTGTTGAGCCCCACGGCGGACCTTTCGTCTGATGTCCTGATTGCTTCAAAATGCCTCCCTGCCCCCCAACACCCCCCACAACCATCCGCCCCCCCCCCCCCCCCCCCCCCCTGCGCCCTCAGCAACTCATAGCAGCACACACATCCTTTGAAACGGTGCCGTTGAAAGCCTTCAACCCCACAGCATCATACAGACACGCAGACTGGTCGGGCTGCGCTTTGAAGGTGGCTCCAATCAATCTCATTCAAAGAAATGATCATGCTTGCCCGCGCCTGGGCTGGCTCCTTTTGCTCCTCGCGCCTCTGCGCAGGACCTCTCAAACAGCGCAACCCGACTCGAAGCAGAGCAACATTTGGGGTTCGGCATTGGGATGCCGTCCGTGGGACTACGAGAAGTCTGGACTTCGCAAAGCTTGCTGAAGAGCATCTTTCTCGTTGTAGGCTTAAGGGCTTAGGCTAGTTTTAGGGTACACATCTTTAAGGGGGTGCGCAGGTGCTAAAGAACGCCCAGGTGCGCAACCCGACTCGTGTCTTCCCACCCACGCTTGCACCCTGGTTGTGACCTGTATGGGTTTATGGTTTCCTTGCTTTCTGATCATGCTCATGTTGATCATTCCTGTTCATAGCGGCGCAGCCTGCCAGGAAGATCCCCCGCGAAGCTCTCTGGGGTCTGAGTTGGGGGCTGCCGCCTCGAGTCCTTGAACAATGCACAATGGACCAAGAGCTCTTTACATCGCTAGTTTCCAGACTGTCCTTTTTGCGAATGCTGACAGGATGGAAATCACGAATTAGTGACAGACACAACATGTAAAACATACTGATTAAATCATGCTTGGTGTTGGTGGTAGTATGTCAGGTGCGGCGTTGGGGTATGCCCTGGATCTCGTCTATTCGGATTCCCTACTAACGAGACCCCCCCCCCCTTTTCCGGGTTAAGAAGGTTTCGGGCTTAGGTCGTCAAGGGTTCAAGGTCCTGGCAGGTTTTTCGGGTTCAGGGCCTAGGGGTTGGGGATGGGGTCGGGTATCGACACGGGACCCATAATCTCCACCAACCGAAGACACGGCCCATAAAGCCTCAAAGCCTAACCCTAAACCCTAAACCCTAAACCCTAAACCCTAAACCCTGAACCCTCAAAGCCTGTTCTAAGGGGGTGGGGGGGCCTCGCCGCGGAGAGGCGGAGCGCGGCCGGTTGGAGATGCGATTCTGGCCCAGGGCGTCGAAGTCGGCCTCGAAGCTGCCGTAAAGGGTTTAGGGTTTAGGGTTTAGGGTTTAGGGTTTAGGGTTTAGGGTTTAGGGTTTAGGGCTAGGGTTTAAGGGTTTGTTTCATTTATCATTAGGGTTTGGGTTGTATCATGTCGCATTCTATACGACTTGGGGTATGGGGCATAAGGGATTTACGAACGGTGTTGGACATTTTTGTGGCTTTTCGGCCTCGCAAAGAGGGGAGCGCGGCCTCTTGCAATCCTTATAGTCGGTTTAGGGTTTAGGGTTTAGGGTTTAGGGTTTAGGGTTTAGGGTTTAGGGTTTAGGGTTTAGGGTTTAGGGTTTAGGGTTTGTCCATCAAGTATCCCAAACCTTACGCCTCGACGATGACCCACAGACCCTTGACTTGAGTTATGCACGACACAGCTCCGTCTGCGTTCCTGACAAGCGACTCGAAGCCGGAGCGTAAAGCACGGCCCTAAACCCTAAACCCTAAAACCCTAAAACCCTAAACCCTAAAACCCTAAAACCCTAAACCCCTGAACTCCCCCGTAAAACACCCATGCTTGGCCCGGTGCACGGGGAGGACGCGCGACTGCCTCCATTTGGCTTGGGGTTCTGCACGTCCCAGGTTCGGATTCGTGGGTATCGTGTTTCGCCTGCTGTCTGGCTATCTGGGATCAGGAAGTATGTTGTCCAGGACTGGATTTCAAGGTTTAGGGTGCCAGAGAACAGTGTCACAAGAGGTGATGAAACCCCAACCTTGCTGGGGCTCAACGAACATTATGCAACAAATTTGAAGGGCACACTCAGATGCCACAAACACAAAGACAAGAAGCCAAGACCCCATTGACAAGGCCTCCGGTTTTTGAGGGCGGCTTGGGTTCATGCGGCTCACTTTTGGGCAACTCTGGGTACCTCCCCGGCCATGCACTGCAGAGCCTCAGAGGGACAACAGCCAGAGGGCCTGACCTAGCTCCGAAAGCCCAAGCTACTTTTTAGAAAGGAATCCCGGAAGGATCCCAAGCCCAAGTCCCTCAAAACCCAAAACCCGAAGAAGAGGAGAGCGTGCATGCTTTTATACGCATGTACGAAGAGGCTTCTGTGGAGGCAGACCGTTGCCAACAGGATGAGACCACTCCATGAAGCTGGAAGCCCAAGGTTTCAAAGCAAACCGAGGGTTGCAAGTTCCCAAGTAACCAAAGAGATCAACACAAGGAATTCTGGCTGAGTTGCGAGTAAGCCAGAAGCTATCGACAACGAGAGCCGCGGGGGATGTCTGATGTTTAACTTCCAAAGATCAAACCAAGGCCCGGCCCCGGAACCCCTCAAATTTAGATTCTCGCGCCGGCCCAGCGATCAGAGTTGAGGACTATAGAGCAAACCAAGAGGCCCGGGGCAGGTGCCCTTTCCCCGCCTCCCCCCCCCCTCCCTTGCGCGCTGAGCGCCCCGCCTCCGCGAAGTCCGCATGGCCGCGCCGGAGCCCCTCCTCCCGTGCGTAATGAGATTTAACAGAGGGTTTTGGGGGGGGTGTCAGTTTAGTATACTTATGTAGGGACCAGAAGGGAATCATATTTGTAATTATTCCGACCCTATATAGTCCGATTGATGCTTCAACATGCGGAATGATGGCGAACGTCGTGTCGGGTGGTGCCATGCCTTAGACAGCCCAAACTTTTCGCTTCCGGAGTTCTACTAAGGTCTAGGGCCCCTCCTTGCAATGGCACCTATTGGGTTCAGGGATTGAATTGCTGCTTGGGGGTCCGCTCCAGATCCGGTGAATCCTCACAGCGCCTATACGTAACGCAAAGCGCACTCCAAAAAGCAGATGCTGAACCATTCAAACGCTTGCACATGGCCATTCCATGTAATTACACGCTGACCTGGTCTACCCGAGTCCAACCCCCCCTCCCCACCTCCACACCCCTTCCACCCCTCCCCCCCACCCCGATCCCCCCCCTAGAACCCCTTAAAACCCCAAATCGTGGCAGCCTCAGCTCGCCGTTGCCCCGCGTGTGGGGAGGGCTGGAGAGCCTCACAAGGCAAGAGTAAAGGTGATTTCATCACAGACTTAGCATAGGGTTTGGGATGTTCCTTCCCCCTTATACTAACAATCCTTAATATGGATTATACTTGGAGGTACTACGAATCCTATTAAGGACTGTTTGTATAAGGGGGAACATCCCAGCCTAGAACCCTAGAGCCGACGCCAGCTAGAAGGACTGCAATTTGGAGGCAGTTCATATTGACGACCAGGTGGCAGCTTAGCAGGAGGTGGTTTTGGTGTAGCAATCTTACTGCATGGAGGCTCTCGAACCGTAAAGGTGTCCTGAACCCTTAACCCCCCAAAAAATCTGCCAAGCCATCAACAGTGGGCACCTCACGGTTCGCTCGCATCTGGGCATAGCTGCCTTCAGGGCGCAGTGCTTTTGAGGTTCAGCTTCCTATGCGCTTGGGTGTTTTAGGGCTTTCTTGGTTGGGGCTTACATATGACTTATGGGCTTCGGGGTTTGCGGGGGGTGCAGGTCTTACGCTGCCAGGCTTGAGGTCGGCATGAAGCCCGAGGGCTCTCCGAGCACCCCGGAGCGCCCAGGTTGAGTCCGGTCTCAGTGAAACTATTCTCACACTCTGTCTCTCTCTTTCTGTCTCTCTCTCTCTCTCACACAACACCCCCCCCCCCCTGTCGTCGTCGTCATTTGTATGGAATGAGTATGCAGAAATGAGCTGCTGAAGGAGCTTTCGTGCTTGCAGCCCCTGACTGGTTCCGGAAGCGCTGGGCTCATTGGCCATGGCCCTTTGAGGTGTTCAAGCTGTAAAACCCTGGCTTATGGGGTGTGGTGGGCAGCCTCAACCAGAATCACAAAACCCTGACCTGATAAGATGATGAGAAGGGTGCTAAGCAGACACCTGCAGGGATTTGGGAGGAGAAGCCCCCCCCCCCCCGCCCTCCCAAGATTTCAGGAAAGGCCTCCGCCTTGTTGCTTCCCCGGAGAGGCGTTGTAGGACGCTACGGGGAGCATCCCGGCCTCTCAGGTTTGGGTGTTCTGTTCAAGGGGGGAGGGGTTGGGGGGGTCGGGTGCCTTCTGTTAAAAGGGGGGTAGTTGGCGGCTTCTTCGGGGTTTTTTGCAAGGAACGACTCGGAACGACCCGCAGCGAAGAGCTTATGCTGCGGCTTTGTGGTTCGGGCTGAAGATCCAACTAACATGTGTCCAATATAGAACAACTCGCAAAGCAGCAATTAGTTGCCTTGGGCTTCTTTGAGCAAGGCCCTCGCATCTCTTAGTTGAACACAACTTGCTCATGTCTCTGTTGCTTGATGCGGTTTCGGTTGCAAGCCTCCTGTACGTATTTCTCATCAGTTTGACTGCATCTGGTGTAGGAGCGCCAACAATCCGAGCAGGAACGCGTGATGGGAAGCCGTACGCTCAACCCCCGAATCCGAAACCCAATGCTGATTTCTTCACCTCCTGAAGTCACATCCTCAACGCACCTGCCTTTTCCGCCGGCGTGGCTGTGCTTCCACCACGGGGCGCGGCATAGTGGCGCCAACTATACAGTCTGAGAGCCAGCCTACTTCCTAAGTCCTAGTTTAGCTATGGGGCTTTTGGCAAGGGAGCCCAAGACACTTGGGGCAGGCGGCTCACGGCAACCTTGTGCGAGTGGAATCTTCATGTCACTGAGGCGCTAAGCCCCAAACCCGGCAAGCCAACCAAAGCCTCGTGGTTCGGGTGTGAGTTTAGTGATCCCTAACTTGCTCGTCCGGTTAGTACTGAATCTTAGCTATGTTGAGGTATCGCTTGAGACTTTACCTCTCCCCCAGAGAGGCTAAGGACTACGAAGCCAAAGTGAGGACTCTCGAGAGCTTCACTTCATGGTCCCTGCCCCAAGGGCTTTCGGTAAGCAAAGCTGTTGAGCCAATGGCCTGGCATTGGTCAAGCATCTCTACACCCTCGTCCCCACACGTCTCTGAACCAGAGAAACGAAGCCACAACCTCAAAGAAACGACACGTGCGACCGGCAAATGCCAAGGTTGAAGGCGGTTTAAGGTATGGGGTCTTGAGAATCAAGGTAAGGGACTCATTCGTTCTCTGCCCTGTTGGGTTGAACTCATGTGAAGAAACTGTGAACAAAAAGAGACCTGGTTGTGCACCTCCAATGCTCTGCATAGCAAAAGCTTAAGCCCCCACAACCCCCAAACTTCAAACATAACCAGTGCGGCCTAACCCCTGAACCCCTCAAACCCTGAACGCCGCAATTTCCTGAACGCGTGATCAGGCTGCGCCTTCAGCCGGGTTTCAAGGGATAACTCAAGACTGTCCATGGCTCCACACTAGGCCGAAGAGTAACCCAGGAATAAACAGGGTGCCCCTTTTGGTTTAAAGGGGATTACAAGGGGCCCGAAACCACCCAAAAAGGGAACAAGGGCCTGCTAACCCTAAACCCTACACCCTAAACCCTAAACGCTAAACCCTAAATCCTAAACTCAGGGTCCTAGAACAACAAGCTTGCACAAAGCGCTCGCGCCTGTGTGGGCGACCCAGGCTGCTGGTAGGGCAAGGTGGCTAAGCCCTGGCAGGGGCCAAGCATCTACCAAAGGAGCCTGAAGAATTGGAACTAAGGGTTTTGGGGGGGTTATTGTGGCATATTCGCAACCATAAGGGAATACTATTCCGACCGCAATAATTAATCCGTTCCTCCTGGTTCAGAGATGCTCACCCTTTCTCCCTGGAAAATGAATACCTCCTCCCCTGCCACCACACCACGAACTTGCGCTCAATTGGATCCCGGTTCTGGAGTATGGGGGCATCTGACTCAGACCCAAAGCCTATAGTGGTTTCGGTGATTCAGCGCGCTTCTGCAGGATCTTGAACATGGTGTCACCCTGAAGGGCTTCTGTGGGGGTTTGGCCTTAGTCTTATAGTCTTCACGGTCGCTAGCTTACCTGTCGGCGCTGTGCACAGGCAAACTGCGCCGAGCCCTAAACCCTAAACCCTAAAAACCCGAAACCCCCCTACACCTCAGGCCTGAGAAGCCTCAACTACGGAGTGACCTCCTCGCAGGTCTCCGGGCCGAGCTCCATGGGGTCAGTCCTGGTGACTGCTATATTGTACTTAATTTGGGGTTTAGGGCTCAGGGTTTTGGGTTTAAGCCTTGAAGCCTAAACAGTCCAGGCAAGAACCCCCCCGGCCCCCCGCCCCCCCCCCCCGCGAAAAAAAGGGAAATGTTCTTCCTTATAACGGTATTATGGGGGGGGGATTCTTTTCAGGAGCGAGGTTTTCCTTGTAGGGCGCTTTTGAGTTTAGGAGGGCCTGGTTAATTAAGGAATATTCCTTAAATCAGAATAAGGATCCCTATAGAATTCAAGGTATATTCCTTAGTGAAGGGTGTTGGGCTCTCTGGGTTCACGTGAGCTTGATGTCATCCATCTCCTTACCCTGCCCCAAGCCCTTTCCTGGCCCTCAGTCGGACACCTGTCGGTTGAAGGGGCTTGGAGGGGCAGCCAGACGCATGTCAAGTTGGCTACTGGATGAGAAGGATGGGCTAGACTTTGTTCTTGAGCACTTTCTGGGAGCTCCAACTTCAACTTTCACACTTTAGACCTCTGTTTGTCCCTTCGAGCCATGACATCCAGCAGTGCCGGCCCACTCCCAGGAAGCATAGAGCTAGGGCATGCGGCAGCCAGAACCTAGATCCCCAATATGCTGCCAACCCAAAATAGGGTTTAGGGTTTAGGGTTTAGGGTCTAGGGTTTAGGGTTTAGGGTTTAGGGTTTAGGGTTTAGGGTTTAGGGTTTAGGGGTTGAACCCCCAAACATGCTGCCAACCCAAAAGCCCCACAACAGCAGCTTCACCAGCTGGGACCAGGTGCCTGTCCGAAGTCTGTTGGGCTGGAGGCGCATCCTCGAGGCTTGTTCCACGTGTGGGGGCTTGGAGGCAAACCCTAAACCCTAAACCCTAAACCCTAAACCCGAAACCCTAAACCCTAAACCCTAAACCCTAAACCTAAAAGCCAAACCCGGCCCTACTGTTACTGCAGCCACTGTCGCCGAACCTAATGGGGATGAGGATTCTCCTGCTTGACTTGACTTTCGAGGGTCTAGGGCAGTAGTTTGATCCAGGGGTTCAGGTTTGGGGGGGTAATTTCGTGTTTTCAGGATGTCAAATGGTTTCTTTGGGGTCCATGGCAGCGAGCCCGCCTGCCCCTAAACCCGAAACCCCTCTGACTACAATTTATGCAGCACGTCTTTGCAGGAGCCTGCAACTCAAGCGTTATCTTTCGGGAGTCTCAGATTGCAAAAAGCGAAAAAAACTCAGGACTCACGGTTTCGGAAGCAATCGCATGCAGGCATGTTAACACCCGCAGGGGTCGGAAAAGACGTGCTCGGAGTAGACTTGTTCAGCCTCAAGCCCAGAATCTTCCACCTGAAGCACTGCAGTCATCGCCACAGTGTCATCCACACGAACATCAAGGCGCGACAGGGCACGACAAACAAGAGCCCCCTGGCCTTTCAGGGCTTGGCAGGTGGCTAGGGTGTGTCGGGCTTCACTCTGCTTAGGGCCTTTGATAATAGAAGGCTTGAGCATTTCTTGGGGTCCCACAGAAGTAACGTGCTAACCCTTGTCCGACACATTGCAAGCTAGAAATCCCGAAGCAGAGCCCCAAACCCTATGAACCGTTAACCGAGCAAGCCAGAAGTCCTCGATTTCTGTAGCGGTGATGCCTTGAGGGCACCGATTCTTAGAGAGCCCAATACCCCTTAATTAAGGAATGCACCTTAAATTATTCTATAGGGATCCTGATTATGATTTAAGGAATATTCCTTGATTGAGGGGTATTGGGCTCCTTGGGTTCTCAGAGCTGACAACGCCAGTGCTTGTGATGCCGGGTGAGGAACCGGGCTTACAAAGCATTGCTTAGCTTTGGGCTGTGCAGTTCCGGAGGGAAGTTTAGAATAATATGGTCGCTTTACTACTGGTTTCGAAAAGCCATTTCATTCTTTCCTGCTCTCTCATTGTTGCTCATGGATTTGGTGAGCTTGCGAACGCTCCTGAAGACGCATTGGGGCCCTTTCATGCTGTGTTGCCAAAAGCCCCAAGAACATGCGGGCGTTTGGACGGGCTTTTCCCTGCGGGAATGAAGGGGAAAAATAAAGCAACATCTATTCTACTTGCGGGCGACAAAAAAGCCATGAACAAAAACAAGAATACATAAACAGTATGTTGTACTGTTGTGTTTGTTCACTTCGTTCATGTGGTACACGTGCCGGCGGCAGAGACCCTGCAGAGACCCTCTACACAGCAACCAGCGTGCCTGCCTGAGTGCCAACCCTAAACCCGAAACCCTGTCAAGAAACCTGAACCCAGATTACAAACTCCCCCCCCCCCGCCCCCGAGGCACGCAATTTCAGTTACTGCCGGGGCACTCAGCTCCCCGTCAGACTCCTGCGTGGGAGCTACTTGGCTTCAGGGCTTGGGACTGGCGGTGCGCTAGAAGCATCATGGGTACTGAGTGAAGCGAGTAGAAGAACTGTAGCTGAGGTTTAACAACCGGTCTTGTTCTCGTAGCTTTGCCTATGACCTCCTTCTTATCACTATCATGGACCTCCCTACTGAACTGAACCCCTTCACAAGATGCTTTTTGTCGCTGGTCCCTTATAACCAATTTCCAAACAAACATATGTTCTAAAACGGTCTAGCAACAGCAACACTACATCCCATAAGCCCCGGATGAAGCGCTTGAGAAGCGAAGCCGAAGGCCTCATCGATCTGCGTGGCATGGAGCATTTTCCTTTTTTGAGGCCAGGTCTGAGGGCTAGGGCTACACTGGCTACGCTCAAACCCAAACTCAAAGCCCCTAGCAAAGCCCCATGCAGAGCTCCTTCATCCTCAACTCACCTGAACTCTAAACGCCTCAAGCCCATACTTGAAACTTGTGTCTGTCCCTGTAGGGATGAAGGGGGTGGGTGGGGTGCATGTGGCAGATACACCCTGCACGGCGACGATGAGCTCCCATCTTCTGCTGTCTATGACACCCTAAACCCTAGACCCTAAACCCTAAACCCGAAACCCTAAACCCTAACCAGCCAACTTCGTCATCCCGACGCGCTGAAAACTTGAGGAGCACAGAATGTCAACATGCCAAAGCGGCCCCTGCCCTAAGCCCCCACAGGCCCTCACACAACCCCTCTCCACCCCCTTATCGCCCTCATCCACCCTAAGCTTCCCCAACCACAGTGCGACGTCGTTTCTGGTCGAGGTACCGAGACTTGGGGGGAAGTGGCCGTCTGAGGCAAGTTGAAATTGGTACAAGGCTTAAAGGGCTCCAGGTCCGATGAGTTTGGGTGGGATTAGAGGTTTGAAGGCTTCGGCCAAGGCGCCCCTGCTCCGTGCTCTCGCAGCCCCGCGGTAAGGGACCAAAGCCAGGGGGCCGCTTCAACCCGCTAATCTGTCATGTGTGTCCCGTATCCCGAGCTTCTGAATGCCAATGCAGAACATGACGAGCCAGTCGACTGGTACATGTCACGTGCGTCGAGCCCATACTACAGCACTGGCACCTGAGTCATGGAATCTACTTCTTGAGCTCCGAATCCCCATGCTTCCCGCGGCCCCTATCCCCCCCATAGTTGCGCAGAAGCGCGGCTCGAGCCACGAAAGGAACAGCATCGTGAGCCCGCCTGTGCTGCTGCAAAGCTAAACTGTGGCCCTCGTGGGCCGATTCTCTCCTGGAAACCCAGCAACATGTCACCCCTTGGTGAGAGGTATCCGCTTACATTTCCTGCACAGCTGGGATTGAGGCTGTTGTTATGTGTTATAGTTAGGTATATACGGGAGGACTTCAGTGTGCTGGGCACAAAAATTCTGGCAAATCAAGCGGTATGTACGCCCATGGAGCGCCCAGCAGGGTTCAGAGCAAACTTAGTTGACGAGTCTGGGTGCCAGGTCTTGCCTGGGTACATTGAGAGGGAGTGAACCCAAAACAAATGATATGAGAGCAGATGGCGAGTAGACACAAAGAATGTCAGCGAGTACCAGGACCAAAGCAAGTCTTGCAACAAGGTAGACCGCATGTCTGACCCTGCTTGAGAAGCTGCAGCAGCATGCAGCAGTTGCCCTTCTTTTTCCTCACTGCCCACAAATACTCCGAAACCGCGCTACAAATCCTGAAGATATCACCCGGTATAGAACTCCTGGACTTCTGCTCCATGTCATGCACCCGCCTGCTTCTGTCTGACAGGTATGTATATAGCTTCTACTGCGATACACGCGTACATATTGCCGGACCGTTTATTAAAAGACAAGACACGAGGGGACTTGAAATTGCACATCCTGAACAATTCGACTCCGCATGGCTATGCGAGTGTGGAAGCCAGCTGCAGCAGCATTGTAGGCTGCGCCTGCAGGAAGCGAATTCGTTTCGGGTTGCTTCGGAGGGCTTGGGTTCTGGGAAGAGTCCATGCTGTAATGAGGCGGTCGATGCGCAGACAGGCTCGAGGACTTTTCTGTGAGGCAAACTGTTGGGCCAGTGCAAGACTCTAGCCAAAGTGCGAGACGAGCAAGGCTGCGCGAAAAATCGACAGCACCTACGTCTTGCGGCAAGTTGGCCAAGGTGCAGAGATAACCCTATAAACCATAAACCCCAAAGCCCTCGTCCCGGCACCTCCTCCACGACGTCTGCACCGACCACGATCGACTCCACCCCGCTCTCGTCCTGTCGAGGTTCCGGATTTAAATGAGGGTCTTGCGTTATGCGATGTCCTGCGCTTTGCAGATACGAGGCAAACTCGTCCCAATGGGACCAAACTATGCCAAATATTTGTGTCGGTTTCGTGCCCTTGCCTGTTGATCGTTGTCTACCGAATGCCGGAATACACAGGAGTTTTGCAGTGAACCGAAATACCGATCGATCACCCTGTACCTACACCAAACTCAAGCTGAAACTACCATGCCCTATGCCTCAGCCTGCATGTCAATAAGACTGGCCGAACCCACAACCTGACAAGCCTCAAGCCCGAAAGCATGTCCTAAAGGCTGAAGTGACTCACAGCCCTACATAAACACCTGTTCGCACAACTTATCACTTAACGAAAAAATGTTTCAGAACAAAGTGTTCGACAGCTTCTTCGTGTCTGCTCACCTGGGCCAGTCTGCCGAGTTCAACATACCTTTTGGCCAAAACCTACAAACAATTGCTTTGTCGTTTCACCTCCTCCCCCAACCCGAAACCCAAAAGCATGTCCTCCTCAGTCCAAGAAAACCTTCGTGCTGGGCCCCTCTCCTCGCCACCTTCCCCCGTCCTAAAACATCAGAGCCACCCCCCCCCCCGCCCTGCCCCGCCGCCCCCCACCCCACCCTCTTCTCGGTGTACTCTACGGCCGCAATATTCAAAAAACGATTGTGTTCAGAATAGATCGACGATGTGATATAAGGATTATTGTGTTTTTTTTTTTAAATCTTTTGGGTTCTTAAGCAGTAACCTGCCAAACAACACAAACCAAGCTGGTTTCCAGCCTCGCCGCGAAGCATGCGGATGTAGCCGTCCTCGCCCCAGTCCTTTCCCCAGGAGTTCCTGGGCGGGGCTTATAGGAGTTCAGGGAGTCAGGTTCTTCAGTCTTGACGTTCATACGGACTCAGGGGTGTCTCACGCCTAAACCAGACCCAAGACTTTGCACGGAAAGGCGTTGCAGGGATCTTTAGGTTTATTTGTCCCAAATTTCCTCTTGGAGTCTCAACAAACTCAGCAAGAAGGAAGGCGCCTCTTTCCCCCCCCCCCCCCCCCCAAACTCCATCCTATAAGCCCGAAGGGTCTCACCTCGGTGCACGGGACCCCGAAGCCCAGAACTTAAACCTGAAGCATGCCGAGCTTGGCTACTTCTTCTCGAGGTCCGAATCCCAACACTACCAAGTCTCCAGCAGTAGAGCCCAGTGCACGTGGTGATGCAGGGGTTTAGGCTGTTGGTGTTAGGAACCCTAAGCCCTAAACCCTAGACCCTAAGCCCTAAACCCTAAACGAGTCTACGGCTCAGAGTTTTAGAGCGTTTAAGGCTTCCAAGCTCATGTACGCTGGGGCGCTGCAAGATCCAGTACTTTCGGCCGTTGTCAGCGCCATAGCCGACCAGCAGCACCTGCATCTTAGGAAGTTTAGGGTTTCGGGTTTAGGGTTTTGGAATTGGGGTTTGGGGTTTAGGGGTTTGAGGTTTTGGGGTTCAGGGTTTCTAAGCCGGCGGTTCTATGTTTAAACTGTTGGTGCGGGCGGGGAGGTGGGGGGCGGGACGTGGGGAAGTCCTGGGCTCAGAGGGTTCGGAGCACAAAGCACAGTAAGGAACCCCTAGCCTGGCGGTAGGGTTGAAGGGCTGAGGGTTCTGGATGGTTTCCGGCTTCATGACTCATGGGGTTTTTGACTCGCGACAGCTTGGGGCTATTGGAAGACTTGGAGATACTGCCCGTTCTCAAAGGGGTTTAGGCGTTACAGCAACAAGGCCCAATAAGGTACTTTGGGGGCTACATGGGTGCCATGCTGGGCACCGCATGGTCCACCGGCTCCCACTCCGAGCGCTGGTGGGGTGCACTGGTGTACACCCCGCGGGTGTAGTAGACGATGTCGCCTTGGGAAGTTCGTGCAGTGCCTTATGGTCCGATGAAAGGCTTGAATCTCAGATGGCCTGATCCCTGTCGGGGGTCTGTCGACACGAGAGCCTCCCAAATCAACACTCCACACAACCCGGTAAAAACCATGGGATTTAGGGTCCTGCTTGAAGTAAACCCTAAACCCTATAAACCCTAAACCCTAGACCCTAAACCCTCTGCCATATGCTCCAGCCTTGGGAACCCCTAGAATGAAGTTGGCGCGTCAGCCGGGCATCAGATCCCCCTCTAATGTGTCCAAGTGGCTCTGGGGCTCGAAAGACACCACCAGGGGCCCTCGCTCCACCAGCTCCTCTTAGGATTTAGGGTTTAGGGTTTAGGGTTTAGGGTTCTGGGTTAGGGTTTAGGGTTTCACTGGATTTAAGGGAACCTCTTCTTCTGGGATGCCGGTTTTTTGGAGGATTCTTCGGAGGATTGGTGTAGAAGTTGAAACGTGGTGCCGCGAAGATAGACCATTGGGAAGCCGCTCGTGAAAGCCCCTTGACCCCTGAATCCCGAAGGTTCGTGACTCTGTCGGGTTGAAACCAAGTCCTCAACCCTGAGTCCCTCAGCCATGAAACCCAGTACCCGACACCACTGCAGAGAGAGAGACTTGGACATTTGGCTACACCAGTCTACCGTGAACATCCTAGTATGGGCTTGTTAGACTGGTGCAGCTTTCGAAGACTGACTCCTGCTTCATGGCCTCCTCAGACGCAGCGCCGTAGTAGCCCCCAACCTTTCAGGTGGAGGCGAGCCCTCTGAAAGATACCGATGCCGATGTTTTTCAGATTGTGGGTTCAGGGCATAAGATGGCATGCTGCCATGCTAGGGTGCAACTCGAGCCTTTTGATTTTTTTGATGATTTTTGCGCGTTAAATCTAAAAGCTTCTGGAGTCTGAACATGAGCCTGCGCAAAAAAACTCACTGCCTCAAAGCTTCCCGGGCTGGGATGCCTTACGAGAATAACGACGAAGATGCGAGTCTAAACAACCCTGAACCCAACTCTCTGTTCCCCAAAGAGCCCAATACCCCTCAATTAAGGAATATTCCTTGAATCATGATAAGGATCCCTAAAAAATTACGGTAAATTCCTTAACAAAGGGGTATTGGGCTCTCTGGGTCACTGCAACCCGAGCAACATAGTGGTGATTGGTCGCGCGCCAGGTCCTAAGACAGACTTGTTTCAGTTTCGGCTTCAAATGTACTGAGAACTTCGTCACAACTCAAGTAGACCATGACTATTGGGGGGAGGGGGCTTGGGGGGCGTCTGAGGCCTTCTTCTTTTAGTCTGGGGGGTTGGGGAGAGGGCATGCAAAGCGAGACTTAGAGTGAAAGAAGGGGGTGGGTTTAAGTAGGCAGGGTGCAGACCGGAAATCTGCCTAAACGCCGCAAAACATTGCGCCCTCCATCCTCGCACAACGATTCCCGCACTGCAACCCCCTGCAGACATGCGATCAGGTCTTGAACTTATGGCCCGTGTTACAACAGGGACCTCAACCTGGACCCTAGCGGCCCTAGAGAATAGAAGTGTCGATTCGCACAAGACTCCTCAGAAAACTAAGGAAAAGTCCTAAGCTGCTTGACAGGCGAGTCGCTTCTGCAGCGCGGCCACATCACACTTCAGTTCGCAGCTGCCGAGCAAGTTCTCGGGATCGTAGTGGCCTTGGGAGGTGTGGACAAGGAACTGACACTGATGTGTCACTAACACTCACATGGTTGTTTAGTCAGAACATAAGATGTCGGTCTGCTGCAGCGCTTGACAACTGACTAGTACATCTAGGAAACATTTCCCTTCCGTGGGAAGATCGTGATTCACACCTTATGCAGCTGAGGGCGGTGGGCTCAGTGCGGCAGCTCGGCGATTGAGACAATACAATGTGTCACCAATGGCAGCACAACTCCCGACAGAGTCTCGACGTTTGTCCCATTTGAAACGACTTGTGTATGCCACATGGTCCAACCTCGGCCTGAAGCACGTATGAACAGCGTTAACATTCAAGTCGCTGCAGTTCTTCGGCACCAAGCCCACGTCCTCCGATCTGATGGCACGGCCGGGCGATTTTCCAACCCAAATCGTCTCCCGGACGCTCTTGTGACAGGATCCTAATTTAATGGGAACCTCAAACAGGGAACCAAAAGAATGATAGTAGGAAGATAAAGGGAATGTAGGGATCTTGGTAGGTAGATTCCCATTATATTCCTACTATATTCGTGGGGTTCCCTGTTTGGAGTTCCCATTAAAGTCCCCTTATCTTGTAGATCCTCTCGCGTTCCAACGCCAGAAAATACTGGCCCATTACTCCAGCAAGTCCTCAACACATTCTCAAAGCCAGAGACCAGTGTGTGGCCAACATCGCCAAATCTGCAGTCTAAGCGAGTCTACTAAGCCCGAATCCAAAGTCCACACTTCCAATTTTCTACCATTTGGTTGTTGAGGGTGTTTAGGGTGTTTAGGGCCTTTAGGGTGCAGGGTTTGGGTTTAGGGTTTTCCGTGTCTGCTTTCGGTACAAGGCAGGGAAGATGGGCTGACAAGTCTCCAAGAGGGGTCAAGGCCCCAGCAAACTGAAGCACTTGAGGGCTTAGTGCTGTTGCTCCTGCGCCCATCTGGAGGCCAAGAACGCATAGCCGCCATTGCAGCCCTGGTTGTACTCCGAGCAGAAGAGCCTTCCGACTTGGCTTATTGAAGAAGTCACTCCGGGGTTTAGGGTTTAGGGTTTGGGGTTTGGGGATGCGCCAGAATCTGCGCTGGGGAACTTTCGTGCTTCAAACAGATGGTTGGCTTGCTTCACCCGCTCTTGCTTGGAGGCGCCGGAGTCGCTCAAGAGGGGGCAATCACGCGAGCAATCAAAACTGGTGCTTAGGGACCTCGGCAGCCTCAACGCGATATCCCTAAACCCGGAGCCCTAAGGGCTCTAGGCTCTAGACCCTGAAACTGAAATCTCAACAAAACCCGGCAACCTTGAACACCCCGAGCCTCGAAGGGCGAAAGTCCCTGAATCAAGCCTCAAGGAGACTCCCATTTTCTTAAAGTCCGGAGTGCCGTACAAGTCGCGAAGATAAGAGAAAGCGTCTCCCCTTTGCAGCCCCCCCTCTTTTTGTCAAAAGCATGGCTTTCGTAATTCTTCGCCTAGTTCACGTTTCCGGGGCCACCGCCTGAAATCGAGCAAGCTGTGCCGAAACGCAGCCAGGCAACGGGAAGTTGAAGGAGAACCCAGGAAAGTCAGGATTCTTGTGCTGGATGCGGTATCTCCTCGTCTCATTGCAAGCTTAGGGGCTGCCTTTTCATGCAATTTTAGTTTTGCACTCTTCGTTAGCTGTGCAGTTTGTCCTCTTCCTCAGAATGAGAAGGGTAAGTGCGCTTCGGATGCAGTACAAAGCCACAACACAGAATTTCGTGGGGGGGGGGGGGGCGGGCGACCCCCGTAAGATTTGGGGATTTCGGTGCTTCAGGGCCAATAAAGCCTGTAAGTGTCTCGCGAGTTTGTGCCAATGCATGTGAAAGCACATATCTTCGTAAGCATTAGCAAGCAGCTCTGTAAACCAGATATATACCTGAACAGACTGGGGTTCAGAGTTTAGGACTTGCAGCCAACAACTTGTGTTTGCTTCAATGTTTCTTGTAGTTTGGGTCGGCAGGACGAAGGGTGCATGTCCTGCAGCTGCGTCATCAGGCTGAGAACTTGATGCCCATGTGCTGGAGGACTATGGGGAATGCTTTCAAGATTTCGGGCGCTCGGTTCACTCTAGCATGACAAGCACTTGGGTGCTGCAATGAACTTAGCCCTCGACCCTAGTGAGCTTGAGATGCCACCATGCCTGCACCCTGAGGTTTTTCAAGCAAAAACAAGAAGCAAACCGTGAACCCTGTCCCGGACCAACCCAGACGCCTAGCAAGCCGGGCTGCGCTGCCAGCATGTGCGTGGTGGCCACGATGTAACAGGAGCCACAAGTTCCCTGGTCAATGACCTGTCGAAGTAGCGTGCCGCTCCGAAAGATGAAGTCTCTCATCAAAGCCAGGAGTCTCGGATGTTGCTTTTGACCTTTATTTTCGGCCGTGCAAGACAGAACTCGAGCAAGCGCAAACTGAACCAGGCTTGACCTGAAAACCACCTGCACTGAAACTCGCGATAGGGTCAAGTACTGGGATGCGAAGGAGACAAAGGCAATGGAGTGTGTAGGCAGCGGGACTTCCTTTCATCCACCTCGTCGAGGTAGCTCACACCAGAGACGTTCCGCCAGTCCCAAGCCGAAGGCAATGGGCGGCGTCCTGTGATGAATGGTGAAGAAGGGGACAGGGTTTAGGATTTAGGGTTTAGGCTTTAGGGATTACGGGGGCAGCTTGGAAAGGGAAGAGGTTCCACCAGCCTCCGCCTCAAACACATGCGTGCTGAAGGCAATAAAACCTATGGCCGGTGATAATTGCAGAGGATGGCTCCCTGTTTCATGGGGCAAAACCACAGAATGAAGCTTGAACCCTGAACTCCAAATAGCCCAAAAACACAGAGATTCGGCATGACGGTGGTGGGCGGCGCTTGTGCCTCTGACCCCGTGGCGCCAAAAGGCCCAAAGCGATAAATCTTGAATATCTTCCTCACCATGAACTGAAGTCGCGGCAGACCCACACGTCCCTCCAGGTACCCGCTTCCTCTAGGGACAAGCACTGTTTCCTTGCACTAAGGAATCATTGTCTCTGCCCTTCACAAAGGGCGGTGCATTAAATGGACGGAGGGGGCTCTGGCCCCAATCCCCGCCGTGCTTTCTGGGCTTGCAAGCGCTGCAGCCCATGCAACAAGTCTCAAGTAGAGCTTAAGGAAGCGTTGCCACCAGTGACATCGTGGGGTGGGAGAAAATGGTATATGATGAAACTGCGCAATCAGCAATTCGCATGTCACGACGCGTTGGAAAGTATTCAGGCTAAAACCCTAAACCCAAAATCCTAAACCCTGAGCCCTTAAACCCCAAACCTTAAACCCTAAACCCCTAAACCCCTAAACCCCTACACCCCTACACCCCTACACCCCTAAACCCCTAAACCCCTAAACCCCTAAACCCCTAAACCCCTAAACCCCTAAACCCCTAAACCCCTAAACCCCTAAACCCCTAAACCCCTAAACCCCTAAACCCCTAAACCCCTAAACCCCTAAACACCTAAACCCCTAAACCCCTAAACCCCTAAACCCCTAAACCCCTAAACCCCTAAACCCCTAAACCCCTAAACCCCTAAACCCCTAAACCCCTAAACCCCTAAACCCCTAAACCCCTAAACCCCTAAACCCCTAAACCCCTAGCCCTAAACCCTAGAAGCCCTCAAGGTGCCTTTCACCGCCTTCGTCCGCGCACGCGCCTGCTGCAGGAAGGACGGGATGGACCTGGGCCGAGACAATTGCTAGTGCTCAAGAAGCGGTTTAGTGTTTAGGGTTAGGGTTTAGAGTTTAGGGCTTAGCATCCTTAAACCATGCGCCAACTTTCTCCAGTTCACTGTAGGGGAAGTTGCCCCCATCTCATCCCTTTCTACACCCCGAAGTAGCAATTACCCAGACGTCCAGCAGACCACAGAGGTGACCACCACAAAATTGTTCGATTGCAAATTGCCCACTAACTTGCGGCAGTGACTTGACCGACTGTCATGGACAGGGCTTCAAGGACTTGTATGGCACAACTCACAGCGGGCCAATGAGGGGCCCATGTCCAGTTTGTCTAGGTATTCCGTCGACAAGGCATAGGACTCTTATCCGCAGGCGTGGTTTGGGATCGGTCGTGGCCGCATAGTGGGCGCTGAAAGCTCTAGCAAAACAGCCCTATTCCCCGCGTCACGTGAGTGGTCGTCAATTGGCAAATGGAGAACAGCTGAAGGGTCACACCTTTCTGTCAACCCTAAACCCTAAACTCTAAACCCCAAACCCTGAACCCTAAACCCTAAACCCCAAACCCTGAACCCTGAACCCTAAACCCTAAACCCTAAACCCTGAACAAAGGTCACCCTGGCAGCCACGCAGCTCGCCATGGCCGGTGCCGAAGTAGGGATCCGTCTCCTTGCGCTGGGCCTGGGGCTCAAGACTCGAAACGTGTTGAGGAATGAAAAGAAAATCCTTCACGTCGGCATTAGGGTTTAGGGTTTAGGGTTTAGGGTTTAGGGTTTAGGCCTCTACAGAGTATGGCATGTCATGGGTTTGACCTCATCCCTTGGTTGCTCCGCTGCAGTTTGGGTCAGTGTCCGAGATCCTGTTGCGAGAGCTGTCTTTCGAAAGAGCTTGCCTCGAAATCTTACAGCAGCGCAAAGCGCTAGAACAAATAGAACTACCAACAACCTACGTTGCTCGAAGCTGAGTAAAGATCCTAGCCCAAGAGCCCTAACCCAAAAAAACAAACCGCCTAAACTTCCCGACAGCCCAAACCCAAACATTCGCAGAAACATCGTCAAAACCATCCACTCAAATCCGGGCGGGGGAGGGGGGGGGTTTAGGGTTTATTTAGGTTTTAGGGTTTAGTGAGGGGCGTTTTGGTCAAGCGTTCATTCCTTCGGAGGTTCTATTGTGTTCGTGAACTGGGCCTTCAACTAAAAGCTTCTGGGAAGATTAGGCTTTCGGATTGTGGGAGGGTGAGTGAAGACAGTAAGACATGGGATTTGAGGGAGTGCTCTTGCTTTAGCTGGCTCTTCTGGGTTTGGCAGGAGGCTGCCAGCCGGGGTTTCGGAGGTGTGGGGCACTCTAAGAGTTTATAGGCCTCAAGGGCCCAAAACCCTAAGGCCCCTAAGGCCCCTAAACCCTAAACCCTCAACCCTAAACCCTAAACCCTAAACCCTAAACCCTAAACCCTAAACCCTTCCAGGATGGCTTGAGGGTTCATGGCTGGCCCCCAAGGCCTGGGAGAAAGGTCGGAAGATGCCGGCCTGCAGCGAAAAGTTTAGGGTTTAGGGTTTAGGGTTTAGGGTAAGTTTAGGGTTTAGGGTTTAGGGTTGTCAAACCGGAAGCCCCCTGAAAGGCAGTGTGAGCTAACCAGTAGGAGATTAGGCCTGATTAGGCCGGTTTGCGGCTCGAAGCCCTGCAAGGCCTGAGCCTAAATCCGACAACTGGCAACCTCGGCACTCCCACGGAGGTTGCGGGGCTTCAAATTTGTAGGTCACAGCGCAAGCCTGCAAACTTGGGAGAAGCAAGGGAGCAGACAAGGATTCCTGCATGGGCTTCCTACATGTCCTAGCTGGAAGTACATGTCGAACCCCCCCCCCCCCCCCCCCCCCCCTGACAGGGCCAAACCAAACTCTCAAAGAGTTCTCTTCGACCACCAGAGTCCCAAATCCTCAGAACCCTGAACCCTCAGAACCCAAAACAAGGCAAGAAGAGAAGAATACACACCACGGATGCCCCGCCATGGAGTTGATCTCGTGCAACGTCTGGCCCACAAAACGGTCGTAGACCTTCGCCGTCCACCAGTCCTGCCTGGGAGAATTCATGAGGTTCACGCTGGTTGAATATTTGCGGGTCGAAGGCTTCAGGCTTGATGGTGGAGAGGTTAGGGTTCAGGTGTGGGCTTTGGGGCCTTTGGGGGGTTTGACGCTCGTTTCCACTTGTCTCAGTACTTTGTTGACTTCGATGCAGGTAGTGGAAGGTGTTGACTAGGGCATTCTAGTATACCCCAAATACCGGTGTCTTGATGGGCCTTCCAAAACCCCAAGCCCAGTGCAGGAAACATCTCAAAGCGGCAGGGAAAGCTTCTTGGGATGACTTGTGTGCGCCGGCTGTTTGATTGATCCGAGGTTCATCGCTTTAAGGTTTGCAAGGCTTCGGGTCTGAGGGCTCAGGGGCGGTAGACAGCAAGGTCCAACGAAATATGTCGTGGCCGCGCAGCAAAGAGTTGAGGGTGGCTGCGAAGGAGTTGTGGTAGGTTGCATCCAAGCCTCAGCACATTGCCAGAAGCATCGAAGGCAGCTGTAAACATCACTGTAGCCCGTGCTTGTGGCGATCGTAAGTATCGAAGATCACGGAAATGGTGTGGGCTGTTGCCAAGTTGTGGTCATTTTTGAGGGTTCTTAGAGCGGCCGCGGGAAGAAAATAAGGAAAAACGAGGTCAATAGGTGTTGACAAAATAGTAGACAGAAACAAAGAGAAAGTTACATATACTTGTATATACTTATATACATATATATAGACATGTTGGTGTATAGACGTACAAGTAGAAGCTTATCTAAGGTGATAGCACCCTGGGCTCGCATCAAGTGCACAGAGAGGAACTCTCCCAAGCATGCCACCACAGGTACCCACGCTTGTATCCAGTAGTTTAGGGTTCAGGGCTTAGGGTTTAGAACTTGTACAAGAAACGACCCATGGGGACCCATCAAGCCATAGCTTTGCCCGCAGATTTGAGTCAGAGAGCCCCACCCCCCCCCCCCCCCCCCCCACATCTTCAGCAGCAGGAAGAATGCACTCTAGGTTTCTGGGCCAGAAACCTCAGCCCCACACCAGACCCCCAACGCTGCAAACTCCGAGTCTCTAAGCTCAGTCAGACGGCGCTCTTGCGACGCGCGAGGCGGCACTGCTGCTCGCGGGGAGGACGTGGTGAATACCTGAAGGCAGAGGACCCACCCCTAAACCGCTCGAAGTCACAAAGCCTCAACCTGAAACCCTAAGCTCGTACCTTTTTGGTTGCCGACTGAATTCTTCGGGACGCGGGATCCCTCTCAAGCCGGGGTGCCTCCAGCAGTTTCGGGTTCTAGGCGCCTGTTGCGGTGTTAGTCTGCTGTGCTGGGCTGGCTGTTTTGAAGCCTCTTTTCGGAGGCTTCCACGGGAGCACGTGGTCAACCTGGCTCCTGCATATAGCGCAAAGTATCCCGAAGAGGGCAGTGCGCTCAGGCACTCAGAGTTGCTAGCTCCTTTCTGCGTCTTCGGATTGTTTTGAGGGCTCTTGACCGCTGTTCTTCGACCCTATACTTTGGCATGACAACTATTTATGTGCTTCTTGTTACATACAGCCAAAGAATGTTCAGAACTGTACTGTAGAACGCGCCCAGCCTAGGCCATGACGTCGTACGGAACCTCTTAGGCCGGTCGGAGGCTCTAAAGGTGAAACGCGATGGGTCGAATCCCTCGGGGCCTTGCATCCCCAAAAGTCGAGGTTTCGAGGGCGCGGCGCCTCAGCCGTCTCCTCCGGGTTGCGGACCTTGCGGGCGTAGAAGCAGCCCCAGTTCTTGCCTGGGCTTATAGAGGCTATTTGGGTTGTTTTGGGCTTGGGTGGAGCAGGCTGAGCTTCTAGAGGCTATTTAGGGTTCTTGGGAATGGGTGGAGGAAAGGGTTTGGGAGGAGGGGTGGACTTTTCTGCGATTGAGAGTGCTGCGCTTGGGATGAGGGTTGGGAGTTTTGAGACGGCTTAGGTTGGTGTTCGCACCTTGGAAGGTGGCTTCCACAGCACAGGTCTCTACTCCAGAGACCAAGCCCATCGGATGTCCAGCAAGGCCCAAGGAAAGGAACGCTTTATCTGTCGTTGTTCGGGCCCTTACAAGTAGGGGCCCCCTTGCTGTACTTGCTTAAGTTCGGGGAGTTAGAACCTAAAGAGTTAGACTATTAACCCAATTCAGGGCCATAACCCTATTTGCAACTAGGGGGCCCTACTTGTAGATTTAGCGCATGAATCAAGAGTTTTGTCTGGGCCAAGCTGCGAGCATCGTCGTGGTACCAGCCGAGCTGCGTCTCCTTGCGATTGCCGCTGTGAGTTCTCGAAAGTCGAGTCCCTTTAAAGCTCCATGTCGTGATACGGCCCTATAAATCTATATATGTATATATGAATATAGGTATATGCATATACATATATATGTATGAACAGAACGATAAACATAAAAAGACATATATATATATACATATATGTATACATACATATATATATATATATCACATATTTTCGGACAGAGTCCTTCCTTTGAAGCATGGTGCTGACTTCTGTGGGATCTTGCACGGTCTTTAAGGCGTCCAGGTTCCGAGCTTAAAAGCTAGCAGCCTAAAGCATTCAGCGCTTGCTTCACAAGATCAGACCCGGCGCCCCACAACGCGAGACGTTCTGCTGCGCGCCATCTTTATGAAAGAGCCTCGGACACAAACAAAGGCGGCAGATTCTAGGACGTTATGGGAGATGAACTCCGGCGGGGGGGCGGGGGGGTGGGGGAAGGATGCGTGAAGCCCTATCACCCAAAAGCTCAGTAGAGGACTTATTGCCTTACCTATTGGGCGCTCTTGACCTTGCGTTCTTCTGTTGTTGGGTGTTGTAGATGCCTTCTGGCAGCCAGACGGACATGACTTCTAGGGATTGCAGGCTGGAGAGCTTCCAGCCGCACTCCCCAGAACGTTTGCTGCACTAGCTGATATCCTTGTATTCTATAAAGGTTCACAATGCCTACGGCTTAAGAAACCTGAATCGAGAGAAATCTCAGGCCAAGTCCCTGTCGTGCAAAAGCTTAACGGAAAGTCTGGTCTAGGCTTCAGCTCAGTGTTCCACACTGTACTTTCCCTATATACACCCTTTAAGGGATTGCATAGGGTACCTCATTCCCTCATTTCCCTACTAACAGACAGCCAGTTAAGTTAGCGATTTCCAAGGCGCTCAAACTTGTGAAAGGCAAGGAAGGAGTAGCCGTCCACGTTCACCTCCATGGCTTCATCGTAGATCATCGTCCTAAGATTGGGTTTAGGGTTTAGGGTATAGGGTGTGTTTAGGGTGTTTAGGGTGTTTAGGGTGTTTAGGGTGTTTAGGGTGTTTAGGGTGTTTAGGGTGTTTAGGGTGTTTAGGGGGTTTAGGGGGTTTAGGGGGTTTAGGGGGTTTAGGGGGTTTAGGGGGTTTAGGGTACTTAGGGTTTAGGGTGTTTAGGGCTTAGGGTTTAGGGTGGGGGCTTGGGGCCTGGGGCCCATGGCTTTGGGGCCTTCGGGTTGTCGAGCCAAGCCCTTCACACCCAGCTGCCATCGACCATCGCGTGTCTGGCTGGTGACGGCCACATTCGGGTCTTTCAGTTCGACCTCTCATGGCTACACGTGGGGTGACGAGGAACCTCGTCGATTCGGGTTCGGAGGACTGTTGCCTACGAGTTCGGGGGTAAGGGCCTTGAGCTACGTCGGGCCTGAAGCTGAGGACTTCGGGTGTCGTTTACGGTTTGGAGGTTTAGGTTGGAGGTCGCAGCGAGTTAGCCGCGCAAGCATTGCATGAGAACGAAGCGCCTCCTACAAGAGCGTCATTGCCGCAAGAAGCTTCCTGAACCCGAAACCATAGCTGAGCTCATATAATGGGCTTTATCGAGTGTAACATCGTCGAATCGTCGAGTTCTCGGAGCTCGGCAATTTCGCATCACGGCATGTTGCGGATTGGATTTGGCTGGATTTGGGACTTGAGAGCCTTTTTGGGGTCTCGCTGCAGGCAGATTGGGGCTCGAAGCTGGTGATGCGATGAACCAGTACCCAACAGAATCCCAACAGAGAACGAAAACGCTGGGCATCCCATAGCAACGACCCGCCAGGGCATGCCTGGAAGTCCTATTCAAGCATCTTCATGGTAGATTTCCGGTGACCTCCCCCCCAAAAAACACATCACGAACAACGCGTCCCCAGACCCTCCCCCCCAACAAAAACTCCCCCCAAAAGCACCCCAAAAACCCTAAACCCTAAACCCTACACCCTAAACCCTAAACTGGGACCACATTGCAGGACTCGTGGCCAAGATCGTCTCGGCCACTTCGGGCAGCTCCACGGGCGGCTGCGCGGCCTCTCAGAACTCCATGCGAGAGAGCCCAATTGTTTCGGGCCCAGGTACCTCACTATCGTATACTTGCCAGAGGCCCTAGATAGGGGAGGCACTTCAAGGCCCAAGCACTCCCTAGCTAGGGTACATGCACCCTTAGGGAATTGGTCAAAAGTTGGGATGCAATGGGCTGCAAGGCTCCTTTCTGCTAACCCCCCCCCCCCCCCCCTCCCCGCTTGCAGGTCCGAGACAAGGCGGCCGACACACACTTTTCTCAAAAAGGATGTGAGGCATCGTTTAGACAGCTTTCGAGGTTTAGGATCCAGAGGCAATTTGATCTTACTATTAGGTTTCGGCGATTAGGAAATCGAACGCGACTTCGCATCGTGGGCTCAGGACTTCTGGACACCCTTGAACACGCAGCAAACCAATCCAAGCACTTTAGAACCAAACCACAAACTCTCAAATTCCAAGGCCTGACTTTGGGCCGGTTCTGTGTGTTGGTCGCGAGCTTCGTGAACTACTTTAAGAAGCCGAACAGCCCGACAATCCGGAAGATTCAAGCTCTAAATGCTCTCAGCACCCTTTAACTCCTGAAATCCCTAAACCCTAAACCCTAAACCCTAAACCCCAAACCCTAAACCCCAAACCCTCATCCCTAAACCCCTAAACCCTAAACCCCTAAACCCTTAAACCCCTAAACCCCTAAACCCCTAAACCCCTAAGCCCCTAAACCCCTAAACCCCTAAACCCCTAAGCCCCTAAACCCCTAAACCCCTTGAAATCCTAAAATCTTCACGCCAGCCCGAGGCCTCGTCGTCTGGAAGCTGGTGTCCGCAGGAGCTGCGCCTCGCAGGGACGACTTGTGACTTGGCTTCCAAAGGCCTCCCAGGATCTCCCAGGGTCTCGGGAACCCTTTAGGGTTTAGGGTTTAGGGTTAGGGTTTAGGGTTTAGGGTTTAGGGTTTAGGGTTTAGGGTCTGGGGTTTAGGAGGTCTGCCGGGAGCCATGCATCCGGTCGCCTCGGCCCTGCTGGGCCGCGGAAGAGCTCCCATCTGCCAGAGATCCTGGGAGTTTGCAAGCAAGCACATGCGTGCGAGACGGGGGTTTCCGAGATCAAGATGCGAACTGCGAATGCGTAAACGACGGAGGGCTGAGGGTTCCGGGTTGAGGGAAGGTTATTTGGGGTCGCGGCCTTGGGGACCCCTGGAGACTGAGTTCCTGGACTCGCCCGTTGCCTTTTGGTGGGTCGAAATTCTCCCCAAAGACTCAAGCTATTGAGGCCAAGATCTGCAGTTCTTCGCGTCACGAGTTGGGGGGGCCGTGAAAGGACCCTGCTGAGAAGCCATCATCTTGCGGTAAGCCCAAGTAAGCCCCAAAACCTTTCAAACTAACACAAGCCTCCAAAACCAGGAAGCTCGACTGCTGGCTGAGAATCTGGTGCCGGAGGCAATGGACCTTACTCTGCACAAGGATGAAGGAGTCGAGCACGGGGGTTCAGGTTTCATGCGGCTGCAAAACCTGAGCCTCGTACCCAGTAACTAAGCCCCGAGCATGAGCTGCTCTCCACATGTTCAAGTAAGCTGACAAGTGCCGCGAGCACGGCCGGTACTTGGGGAAGTCATTCTTGTCAGCCGTACACAGCTACAAGGAATTCCCGCACATTCCTGCTAAGTGTCGATGAGAAACCAAGCCCTTCAACGTGTAACGCTTTCGGGCCGTTGTGGCTCGAGTCCAGGCCCAAACCCTAACACCCTAAACCCTAAAACCCTAAAACCCTAAAACCCTAAAACCCTAAAACCCTAAAACCCTAAAACCCTAAAACCCTAAAACCCTAAAACCCTAAAACCCTAAACCCCTAAACCCCTAAAACCCTGAACCCCGAAACACAACTCATGCCTGGCCACTGGAAGGTCAGCTAGAGCAGCAGAGAACAAGGTGGTGCAGGCCTTGGTGGAGGGGGGGGGGGGTAGAATATAGTATAATTATAAAGGGACCATAAGGAAATACTATTAGTAGCTATTCCGACCCCTTTCGTAACCGAACCCTATCTGGCCCTGAGTGAGCGTGCAGATTTAGTTGGGGAGGCGCGGACCTGGAGAGAGGGGACTGCTGGGCCAAGGATCCGAGCATGGTGCCTTGATCCCATCCCGCCAGTTGGGTCGGGGCAGCCCTTTAAAACTGTACCCAAAGAGCCCAATACCCCTTAAAGGAATATACCTTCAACCATATTAAGGATCCCTACATAAATGCAGCAATATTCCCTGATTAAGGGATTGCCAGACATCTTCAAGGTGCCCAAGGGCCCTCCGCAGTCAACACGTGCACCTAAACCCTGCACATGCCTTTGCCGAGGCCTTCTTTGGTGCGTCCGCGAAGAAGGCTCCGTATCATAAGGGATGCCCCAAAGGGGCTCTACATGCGTGCTTGTGCAACTTAGTGAGTGGTGAGGGACTTGTTCAACGTGCGTTCTTCTGCTCCTGGTCGCTGGTAGTCGGACGTGAAGGGTTTTGGGGTTTAGGCTTGTGCATGCCATTCTGGGTACCCTGCATGTGCCTTGACGAAATTATATTTACATCAAACTTTTTGTGTCTGCCCTTGCTGGTATCCGCCCTTCCGGGTCTTCGCCCAAACTTGTATCTGGCAGAAACACGTACGACAAATGTTTTTTTTGGTCGTGCCTGTGACTTGTTCTTTGCAGCAGTTCTTGGGCAAATCAAGGTGCTGTGTGGTGTGAGCGTGTCTTCTGGCGAAGCAGGGGCACGGGACCTCACTGCCACTGTTGCCTGAAGACCCTGTGCTCAGAGTCCTTTTGCGCTACGCTTGGGTACTTGCGAGCTGCACCTTTTTTTTTTTTTACCAAAACCGAGCAACATCTCTGAGAAACCCAAGAGCACGAAAGATTTCCAGGGTACCTGTGAAAACGAGAATGTGGAGCCGAACGAAGGGGTACAGAGTACGAAGCTTGTAGCTGGCTTCCTCTTGGAGCTTGCGCAAAGCCAAGCACAGCTTCAACCACTAACCACCGAAGCGTCACAAACCTTTATGCTTGGACCTACCTGCTCTGCTTCGGCAGTACCTCCTAACGGACCTGCAGCTTCAAGGTTCATACATAGAGAACTTGTGGTCGATATCGGGATGGCGGAGATGAAAAAGAATTGTACTGGCACGAAAAGCATGAAGGATGACAGAAGCGAATGAAATGACGCACAGAAGCCCTGTTCAGAGTAGACAAAGACATGTATGATTATATGCGTCTGCGCTATATTTAATGCGTGTTGTCCTCCACACTTGAAAAACCCCAAACACAGAAACGGCCGAGCGACTGGGACAATAAAGTAACATGAGAGTGAACAGACCCTGGATGTATAGTGTTTTTTTTTTCCACTGGGGTGTTGGTTTAGGGTGGCATTGACTTTGCAAGAGTTCCTTGTTCATAAATGTCGCTCGCGGGCGCAGTGCAATGTAGGAACGCCCGTATGAAAGAGCAATAGAATGCAGGCGATGAGTAGCGTGCGAACGAAATGAACAAGAAGAAGTCCATGAAACACAGTGAATATAGTATCTTCTGAAGCCTATTGTCTGGCTGTTAGACTCTGAGCTCGGGCCCCCCACAAAGGGCTGCATTCAATACCCAATACACCCAGGCTCCAGAAAGGTAGGCCCCAGGCACAAGCCAAGCCCTCAAACTTGCAAAGGGTTTAGGGTTTAGGGTTTAGGGTTTAGGGTTTAGGGTTTTTGGGTTTGGTCTGGGGGCCCTGCAAGAAGTGGTCTCATCGAGGGCTCCCGAGCAATCTTCCTTGCGTGGCAGGAAGTGTAGGGTTTTGAAGGCCTGTATTTTAATTTCTTGTAACCCCAAAAGGACACCGAGTAGATAACACTCACCAATATTGGAAAGGAACCTTATATACACTCACACAGACCAGTAATAGAAACCCTGCTTCATATAGGCGGGGGCCACTTGGTTTCCGCCTACGCTTCTCACCGCATGCCCCTTTTAGGGTGCAAAGGGTTTCTCGAGGCTGATGGGCCATTTTGTCACCAACGGCTTTCTTAGTCCAACCGGGCTTCTGCCCCTTCTGTCGCCTTCGAAGCCTTTGACTTGCTTGGAAGTCCCCTTGTTGTTAACCATGACCTAAAACCTGAAAGAATGACTGAAAAGTCAGCACGCCATAGCAGCCAAAGAATGCAGGCTAGCAGCGGGGAGGCTAAGAGGCCCCCTTACGTCCGCAGGCTTTTCCGCCGTCGCCGCCGGAGGGATTCCCGGAGGCCCTCGGGTCGAGAAGCTTAAAGAGACCGACTTAGTTGGATCAAAATCACTATAAGTGATTTCTTCTTGGAGGGAAGGGGGCACCTAACTTCATTGTTCTAGCCCAAAGATCAGCCTCTAGGCAGGGCGTATAGGGCTGCCAAAAAGCCCAACAGCCCTTAATTAAAGAATCTTCCTTAAATCATAATAAGGATCCCTATATACTTCAAGGTACATTCCTTAATTAAGGGGTCTTGTTGGGCCCTCTGGGTCTCGCTTGGCTTGAAGGGTCATGTTGCGCTTGGCCTTGGGGTTGGGTTTGTTCAGGGTTGTGGGTCTGCGTGCTCTAAACTTTAGAGCTGTAATTAGCGGAGTTAGGCATTGGGGCTTGTAGGGTGTATTGGGCTGAGATGAAGGCAAATAGGAACAGCACACTTTCAGACCCTGCAAGCCCTACGACATTTGCACCCTGCAATCCCGAAGCCCGGCACAAAATACGGGGTCACCCTCCAACAAACTCCAAAACACAAAACGGCAGCAGCCCGGTGGCCGAGGGAGTCGCAAAAGTCAGCTTCGGTTTGCCAAAGTGGGCAGCGGTAGGATGACGAAGACTCCAGTTCCTTGAGCGGCTGTACTTGCGGGCTCAGCCAAGATTTCAATACTCAAAAACAGTCAGAGGCGTCTGTAAAGCGCTCCAAAACCCCCAGTCCCTTGAGCTCCACAGCCCTGAAGCCCAACGCCCGGAACCCAAAAATCCCCAGGCACTGTCACATGCAACACGATTCGCCTATGTAACCCTGAGCTCAATACTCTCCTACGCCTCAAGTTCTACAGTTCCCCTGCTGTAAGGCTGCTTCAGCAAATGCTGCATGCTGTTAAGCACGTGTTGTTTATGTTCACACACCTCAAACATTGAGAAAGTATTTACCGGAACCCCCGCCCCCTGGTACCCCAAAACAGAGAAGCTCTATGACAGCTAAGTAGCGCTATCCAGGGAGCACGCAGATGCGTGGGTTGAAATGAAACTGAGCCACGATGGCTGCGGAGTAGCCAGTGTAGGGCTGAGGTTCAGATGTTGGAAAGGGACCTTCTTCGGGCATTAGGCCCTATAGAGTGCCTAGGAGGACGTCGGGTTTTGGGGTTCGCTTTTTCGGGTTCCTTGCCGGCTCGGTAGTCCTGGAAGCCAGCGTGCCTCAAGGTTCTAGCTGCAAACTGTGGGCTGATGGGTTGAGTCCGTCTCTCTCTGCCCTCAATCTGCTGCTCCTCATAGCAAACTAGGTTGGCCCCTCAAACTCTCTGAAGAAACGTTCTTACATGAAAGCCCCTTAACCCAAGGCACAAAAATAGTATCCCAAGGTCCTACACAGCAGCAATAAAACCCAAGCTAGTGGGGTAGGGGGCGGGGCACACTAAAGAGAGAGAACGGGTCCGCTTGGGCACATGAAGGTATCCACCAACAGAGCAGCTCAAGACTACCATAAACCCTAAACCCTAAACCCTAAACCCTAAACCCTAAACCCTAAACCCTAAACCCTAAACCCTAAACCCTGAACCCTGAACCCTAAACCCTAACCAGGGCGACTTGAGTAGCGCTGCCTACACCCTCTAAGCCTACAAGCTCTTAACGTTGCAAAGAGCCGATTTTCCGTGCTTCTTTCCGGAAGCAGCTTGAATTCCAACGTGCAGCCTACTGTCACTGGGCGTTGACTTCTCTTCGCATGTTGGAGGACTCCTCTTCATTTGTGCTTTAACGGGGTCTCTCGGGTTTAGGGCTTAATTCAGGAGGGGGCTGCACTCGTGCTCATCCCTACAGCCCTTCCCTCTAAGGCTAGCGACTAGCAGGTTTTGGGTTCGTACGATGGCGAAGTCTGCGGTGCCTTAAAGCCTTCAACCCCAATCAGCCAGATTGCGAGGCCCAAAAACCCCCAAACCCAGAAACCCTCAAGCGCCGTCTCAAAGCCTCGGCCCTAAAAAGCACTAAACCCCAAAACCGCCATCCTGCATAGACACTCTGAACGGCAGCTGTGGGAGCCCGCTGAGATTTGAAAGCAAACCTCAAAAAGTCTACTCAAATTGGATCTGGCTGCAGGACTTTGAGACCCCAGGAAGCCCCGAACCCATGGCCCTAAAGCGTTGAAGCGGAACCCTGGTGAAACCCGACAACCCTGAAACACTTTACACGGCTTTTCAGACCCCCAGTGACTGAAAAGGCTGTCCACCGCAGGGTGCGAAACACCACTCTGCCAAAATTCATGCCATGCGACCCGGCCATCGGGACTTTTCTGCTTCTTTTTTTGCGGGAGATCTGTTATTGAGTTTGGGGTTCGGGCAGTGGGGGCGAAACGGTTGCGAAATAGCAAAACAAGTACAAATGTATAAAGATATGGCCATCCACCCCACATGATACATATCCTGCTTTGTCATGCTTGCACGTATACACTTATACTTACTTGCTTCAGTCCAAGTCGCTTCTTGGTCGCGAAATATCCCATTTAATGTTCCCTTGTTCAAGTTGTTGTTGTTTTGGCATTTCGTCCGGATCATGCGGGGTGAGCATATATGTCATATGTGTATAATATGCACAAATACAGAAGCACAATGTTGCATACACATGCGAGTGCTACCCACCCTCCCACCCACCCACCCGAGATCGGCCAATTTCGGTTTTTCGGTTTTGGAAGACTTGGGCTGTTCTCCTCCAACTGGAACGCGACATATGTGGTAGCACGTAAAATCCATATTGCTCTTGCTAGCCCGATCTCTGTGGCAAGACACAAAAACCTAAGTGCAGCTACTCAGTAAGGAAACCGAAGCTCTCAGTAAAGCTAACTGGGAACAGCGGAGTGCAGCCGGACTTGATCCGACTTGCGCAATGCACGATGAAGGACAGCTGCTGGTACACCAGCTCCCGAACTACATATATTGTACATATACACACACACACACCTACATACATACATACATACATACATGCATGCATGCATACATACATACATAGCTACATACATAGCTACATACATACAACATACATACATACATACATACATACATACATACATACATACATACATGCATGCATGCATGCATGCATGCATGCATGCATGCATGCATGCATGCATGCATGCATATACATACCTATATAAATATATAAATATAAATAAACATATATATATATGTATGTATATATATATATATATATATATGTGTGTGTGTGTGTGTGTGTGTGTGTGTGTGTGTGTGTGTGTTTTCTCTTGTACATACATCCTTTCATCAATCTGCGCGTTTATGATTCGTTTCATTGCTTGGGAACTGTGATCTTGAATGAGCTCATTACATCCAAAAACGTTGCGCATCGCTGTTTCACTGTAGATGACCAGCAGATGGGAAATAATGATTAGTCATTATGTCATTGACGGTCCCTTTTTTTCATGACCCCCTTGAGCGCGAGCATGTCGTTTCTGCGTTGCGTTGCAGATCACTGGTATATTCGAGGAGAAGGGGTTTTTGGTTGCTATACCCCATCGCAGCTGTCAAGAAATTCCACCGACTCGGGCAGCAGCCGCCCCATCAGCTTGGAGCCCTAAGCACCCTGACCAACTGCTGGGTTAAGGGGCTCCATTTCATGTAGAGGCCTACTAGTAGCTTCGATTGCGTCGTGAAGTGGCAGGTGTTATCCGTTTCATCTGAACGGAAACGATGAGGCGGACTATGTCTCTAACGAGGGAGAATGTCGGCAAGATTGCCTGCTTGGTGACTTTGGCTAATAGCCCGACCAGATGTAGGATTCCGGGCCAAGGACTGAAACGCCTTCAAGTTGTCGAAATCGACAGCCAAGGGTGTAACAGTGTGACAGTGCATCTTCTGGGTCAAGAAAGAAACCCCCTTAAATACTCTCCATGGCCATGGCCGGCGGTGCCGACGAGTATTGCAAGTGGGCTCAATTCGACACTGCAGGGGGCGCGCCTGACAATAAGCTTCTCTCAAGTTCCAAAGAGGACCCAACGCCTTGCTAGAGTTAGGAACCCCCAGGCAGAAGCCCCCAGCGCTTCCAACCCCATCTACGTAGCGCTATACCATGTATATGCCCTGAAACTGGAAAGTCTGAAGCCCGAATCCCAAGCTCTGAAACCCTCAATCCTTAAGTCTAACCAACCCTGTTTCCAAAGTAAAGCTGGCACTACGAGGAATCCCAGCTAAAGCTATGTAATTCGCCCGAGAGGTCCGAATCTGAAGCATAAGGCTCATTCTTTGCATCGAAGCTCCGTGATATGAATGGTTTCAGGGCTTACGGGCATTGGGGTTAGGGATCTGGCGACAGCTGTGCAACCTATGAACTTCAGACCTGAGAGGAAGTAGTAGCTTGGGCTTTTGGCGTAGGGATTTCGGGGTCAGTGCTAGGGCTTTTTGGCACGGCCTGAAGGCTGGCCTAACCCCCCCCCCCCCCCCAGGCAGAGGCCCCGACCCGGAATCGGCCTGTTACTGGTCGCTTCTTGTGATTCAGAATTTGGAACCTCGACAAGACATCCGC